TATAGAAATCAATATTAATTCTTGCTTTGCTATGATATAATATAAAGCTTATATATCTTCTATCCCCCTTTATGGTTATTACAATTGGGTACAAAATAAACACAAATTTGCATTTATACTATGTATATATACAATCATAGGTACACACAGATATGTATAGTGCACATATGAACATATGTATACAAATATATAGGTACTTTTTCTCTTTTTAAAGATCACTTACTCATCTTTATTCTCTTCTTTTAAAAATATAGTTTTTAAAAAAGCTATTGATGGCTACTCATATAAATCAAAAGAATTAGGCTTGACTTATGAGAAGTGAAATAGTAATAATTCAACTCATATGCTAATTTTAAAATCACATCGACAAAAATATCCTATTAAAAACACAAAAGAAGTATACCTCAGTTCTTTATTATGGCATTCAGGAAGAATGGGATTGTAGAAATAAATTGAATGGGACAAAGTGGGGGAAACATACAAAGCAGAAGAGGGCAAAACACAAAGAATGTTACAAACACAATACAAGGAACAAAGGTACTTTCTGATCTCTATGGAATCATTTGCTTCTTTCAATCTGTTTTCCAAAACTGAGTCTAGTGTACACCAATAGTTCTCCAATTTTGGTGAGCCTTAGGAATACCCATTTAAAACAAATTGCTGGACCCCATCCTCATTCCATGGTCCTAGGGTTGGGGACCCCAAAATTTGTAATTCTAAGTTTCCAAGTGGCCATACTGTGAGAATCACTTATTAGATCTTTCTAGGTCCTGATAGTTGGGGGGAATATTCTGAGGCTACTATGAATTCCTCTAGCTTATATTCTAAAAGTAGTCAAATTGTTAGGTAGGGTTTTTTCCCTATCATTTTTGTGGCATATAGGTGATTTTCATGGCAGCATTACAGTATTGTTGATGATATGCAGACTAGATTTTTGCAATGACTTTCCAATTTCTTTTATCAGGAAACTAAGTGAGGAAGTGGAGTTAAATTATTTCTGAAAGTATAGTTTGATAAATAAATTACAATTAAGTGTGCATAGTATTTCTAATTCAGTCAAACATGGGGGTAATCATTTATAGTTTTTGGCAATTAGATCCTGTGTTTTGTTAAATTTATACAAAGTATAATTTTTTGAGTGATTATAAAATTTTGTATACATTGCTAGCACACAGAAATTAAGTTTGGGGTATTAATCTTGAATTTATGATTTTATTAAATCTACTTATTATAGTACATTCTTGGAGATTTCTTGAGACTTCCCATGTAGATAATATTATCTGCAAATAAGGACATTTTATTTTTCAATCTGTATGTTTTTCATTTCCTTAGGGTATTTAAATGTAAAGCGCCATGTTGAATAAAAGTAGAACAGAAGCAATGACAACACATGTCCTTCCCTTATTCCCAGTCTTAGGGAGAATGCATTCAGTCTTTTATCATTAAGTTGTTGTAGATGCTATTTACTAAGCTGAAGATGTTTTCTTTCGTTTCTGAGGTTTGGTTTGGTTTTGAATCATAAATGGGTATTGTTTTGCAAAATGTTTATTCTGTATTTTTCTGATTTTCTTCCTAATGTGATGAAATACTTCGAATTTCAAGTATTTAATCAGACCTGAATTCCTGTCTTTTACAAACTCGAACTGCTGATATTTTGTGTCTATTTCATGAAAGCACTGGTCTCTACTTCTCTTTTCTTATAATCACTTTTTCTTATTTTCTTATTTTGATATCAGAATAATGTTGGTTTCAACTAATCAGGTGGGAGGTATTCCCTTTTCCTGTATTTTCTGAAAGAGATAATGTAAAACTGCTGTTATTTATTCTTAAATATTTGGCAGTTTCTAATAAGGGTAATTATGCATTTACCATACAACCCAATCATATTTCAAGTATTTATTTATCCTATAGAAATGAAAATTTCATGTTCATCCAAGACTCAGTAAACAAATCTTCACAGAAACTTTATTTGCAATAAGCAAAAATTGGGTTATTACTCAAATGTCCTTCCATGGTAACTGGATTAAGAGACTGTGGTACATTGGTAAAATGGAATATTAATTAGTGATAAAAAGGAACAAACTGCTGACAAACAACACTGAGGATTTAAAAGGGTAATATGATGGATGAAAAAAGTCTTAAAAGGTTACATACTTTATAAGATTCCATTTATATAATATTATTTAAGTGACAAAATTATAGTTATGAAGCATTAGGGTTAGATGAGGGCATAACCATTTAGAATTAGTTTGTAGAGATGAAGAGTTCTATGACCTGATTGTAACATGAATCTACGCATGAGAATAGTTCATAAACAGAAAAAAAGCATGTAAAAATTGTAAAATCTCAATAAGCTCTGTACCTGAGTTAGTAGTATTGCTGCAATGTCAATTTCCCAGTTTGACAATGTACTATCGTTATATAAGATATTATAAAAAGGAAAAGGTGTACTAATCATATAGAAGAATCTCTAACATTTTTGCAACTTCTTGTTAAGTCCTAAAGTATTCCAAAATGTAACATTATAAACAAATTACTAGTAGGCACACACACACAAAAAAGAGCACGTGACAGAGAGGCCTGACCTTAATATTCTGGATGAAGAGTCAAGAAAGACTTTATTATATAATGAAAGACTACAAATTTTGTAGGAACACAATTCAGCTCATAACAGAGGTTTTACCTGCCAAAAGAGTGTGGACGAAGATAAGGGAACAACAGAGATTCAAAGTCAAAGAGGTTGAAAACAGTTCTAAGTATTTTGTAATAGTTCTCATAATGACTATTTATAATAAAATATTTTAAATAGGTAATTTAGTTTAAATAACTATCTGCTTGCTTTAAATGATTATATTCTGAAACAGCATTCCTGATATGTCTAAAATAAGAGCTTTGTGTGTTAAAAAAAAATTGAATGGTGGATATATTAGAAACATATACAGTTAAAAAAAAGTGGAACCCCAAACACAGTGTCTTAAACAACCAGGAGTTATTTTCTCTCAAATAAAAAAGTGCACAGGTTGGCAATTGCTCATGTTGGTTCAGGTGTTCAACAATGTCATCAGGGAGCCAGGTTCTCCCTAATCTATGAGCTATACCTTTCAAATGTAACTTTCAATTCTCACATTTGCCATTTCAAGGTTGTAAAACAGTTGTTACAATTTTCTTATTGGCACTCAGTCAGAAGGACAAAGAGGCGCAAAGCTCTGACTTCTTCATTTGAAAGGAGAGCCCTCCCAGAAGGCTTCTATGCATTTCATTAGCTGAACTGTTGCATCCCACACCTGAGATTTGTCCAGTAAGATAGTCAAAAGTAATGTGACTATTTAAATTTTAAAAATTAGAAACTGAATATCACAGTTGCACTAAGAGTCCAGGAGCATTTCTAGTGCTCAGAAGCCACTAATGGCTAGTAGCTACCACAGCACATGGCATGAATACAATTTCCTTTACTGCAAAAAGTTCTGCCTTGGTCTAATCACTCACCACAAGAAAACTACCACTTCTCTTTTAAATCAATTAAGATATATCCTATGGGATATTCTAATCTCTTTGAGGAGAAGGATCTTCAGCACTATCCAGGCAAAATGGTACTGTCAATGAAAAGAAATAGAAGTAATAGGAATATGTTGAGAATTGTCTGCCACGATGGGATTATCAGTACATTTAGGTTGAAGTTTATAAATATTACCACTGACAAAGTACTTAATAAGTAAAAACTCTTGGCAAGAAGTTATCTAAAAAATAACTTTATTTTTTATGAGTAAAAATGAAGTGAAGCTAAGACTGACAGCTATAGAAGGCAAGAAATTAACTATTACACAAATAACAATTGGTAAAGTAAATAGTAATCTAGTGATGATGGGTGGTCAGAAGGAGAAAAGGTAGCAGGACAATGAGCAGGCACTAGTTTCTTTATAGCAAATGTAAATTTGAAATTGTTGATCATGGTGAAAATACATTTACCAGTTTCATGTACACAAAGAGTACATCTCTGTGAAAACAAAGATCAGTAGGGAAGAATTATCTGCATACGGGAGAAATTATTTCACAGAAGATATTTAATCAGCTGCTTATTACTCACTACAGAATAAGATGAAAAAGACTGTAACATGGAATATTAGACTAAATATAAAGAGTGATTTACTAATAGTAAGAATCATTCAAAAGTTAAAAGAAGTGGATATTGGCAATAGTTTTCTTCCTAAAGACTTACAGGTTATTAAAATTCTCCACAGTCCCTACTTGCCCAAATCCAGCAATGACAAGTTTGGAAGCCTTGTATATTGTTAGCAAAAATAAGTTTAATTTAAATATACATATATAAATTACAAACTAATACTAACAATAAATATTTGTCCTTAAGAGCAACTACCTGTTTTAAAAACTGATTTGTGTCTAAATAAAATGTTTAACTTTCAAAGTCCTTTCTTTTCCATTGAAACATGTAAAATACTGTTGAAGACAGGATAAAGATTGTTTTTCATGAAAATAAGAAAATGTAATTATAACGAGGAAGTTAATAGAATATGAGAATTATAATAATTCTATTTCTAAAGATAGTTTAAATTTTATCACTTGCCAAAACCGAAGGGAACTCAACCACTGCAACCTCTTTAATCCCTATTCTCTATGTACTTAAATATATCTTTATGTAATTTACAGTTATATTTCAATAAATATAATTTGTGAAAAGGCTAAATTGAAGTGTTACAGCACAGACTAACCTTAAGGCATTTTATAAGTAGAAATATCTACCTCAAAACAAAAATTTCACAGATATTGCAGAACTTTGGAGAATGACATACTTTAAAAGCAAGATTTCAGAACATAGCAAAGTAATTTAAACAGCCCAAAGGAATGCAAAGCAAAATCCAACCTCATACTATAAACAAGTAAGTTAGGTATGCTGTGTATTTCCAATCATCAGTGAGGAGTTAACTAGAAATTGAGCTAGACAATAATATGATTACAACAAAAAAGAAGCTAGGATCTTCATATGCAAGTTTAACAAATCATCATGGTTTATTTAACAAGGTTTATTTCTACATCAGATTGTGGATTAAAAGCAGTTATATATGTGATATGAAAAGACCGATGTACAATCAATAGGTCTTATATCTTTCTTCCATGGATTTCCCCCATCTCCCTGCTTAGTAGTAAAAGGCATTTTTAGGCTTATATAAACACATTCTTTACAACTGCCTCTTCACAGAAAATTAGAATATAAATAGCACTGGGCATTTAGTTAAATAAGTCACAGGTCAATAATTTCAACTGTGCAGTTGTGAAATCTAATGTCAAAGAGTTTTTGAAACCTTAAGACTGGGTGATCTGCAATGTTTCCAGCATGTCTTCAACTGCCTTTAGAGAGTATTTGGTTTCCTTCTTACTTCGGCCTGCAAACTAATTAAACAACAACAAAAGAAAGCTCTATTAGGCTCAATTTCAATTGCAGGTTAAAAAAAAAAAAAATCACAACATCACCTTCATATTGCTAATGAAACTTAACATTAACTATTTTCTCACTAGCATGGAATCAAACATCTTCCTAAGAACAAAAGTTAAGGTTTAAGAACCTTTTTATTAAGGTTTCATCCTCAGTTGAAGTGTACAAAGGTTTCACTCCATACTTGGTTGGTTTTAAGTAGTATGATAACATCATAGATTTGATTTTAAAACTATCTCATATTCAGACCCCAAACATGCATAAAATAACAAGCATAATTTTTAGAAATGTAACATATTTATTAAGGCACACAATAATAATTTCCACTTATCTCACCTCTAAACAGATTCTTACAGTTTCAAACAAAGATATAAAGTAAATTAAAGTACTTTTTATTAAATATTTTCAAGTTGCAAGTAATCAAAAAAGTCAAAGTTGGTCATATTTTAAGTTTACAGATTTATCAGTTGACTAATGATATGTTTTTGTAGCACAAAGCCTGTCAACACTCCACACAACATATTAAAATGATGCAACATATTTTTAAATATCCATTTTCTAGTTTATGAAATTGTAATTTACTTTATAAAACTAAACTGGGGTTGGATTTTATAATGAAAATCAAAAATAATACATCAAATACTATCTTTCTATATATAAAAGTAAACTCATGGCATCTTAAATTCAATATAGTACACATAATCTGTGGGGTTGAACACTGTTGAATACCCCATGCTGATTTCAAAATGAGTTTTCTAACTGGACTGACAATCTCCATCATTTATCAGTCTGATTTAACACAACAGATTTAACTGATAAATAAGTGTTATGAGGATAGAGGAAAGCTTAATTATATTATCTGTTTTCCCGTGGTCAAAGTATTAATTAAAATGTGGTATTAGTAACATCTAACATGTAGATAACATATTTTAAAGCGATTGATCCTGCCTTCAAATAGCAATGCTATCTTAAGTACTTAGTACTTGATTTATGATGTGTTTCTTCTCTTTCGTAATTAACTAAGCAAACTTCTCATGACCTGTTCAGAAAGATTAAATAATCTAGTACAGGTAACATTATAGAGGCATAGGCTTCACAAATTGGTAACCTGTCTCTGACCCTTCTGGCTACACCATAACATTACAACTCCCCTAGTTCCTAAAACATTAGCTTCTGTAGTTGAATCTTTATTTAATAGAGTAAATAAAAAGTTGTTTGTTTTTTTTAAGGGAAATGTCATGGAAAGAGAAAAGCTCATAAAAACCAAGATCAATTTTATTTTTCCCTGAATTAAAGTATCACTAAGAACTGAAATGTTAAAATACAAGTTATAATTATAAAATATGGCAACAGTAACACCACATTTAAAACATTTTTTTTCTTCATTTCCCTTGGCAAATAAAGGATGTGAGGCATGGTTATTACTTATATTATCCCAGTTGATAAATTCACCTTCACAAGGATCTACAAAGAACAGAAAGCCTTTTCTTTTACCACTGCCTACCCAATGTAAACAGGAATGGTCCTAATCAGATACTTAAAGGTCTAATTCGGAGAAGAGAAGCTTTGATGGGTTGGGGGAGGAGTACAAAAATAGGTTACCATGTGGTAACATTGACTCTTAATTTAAGTTTTAAAGCAGCAAAGTAAAAATTTAAAAACTGTAGAAAGCTAATGTTCTAATATGAATGTTAAGCTGTAGTATTTTTCTTGATTTGTACCTAACAAATATAATAGGAAGTGTGATTTTTTTAATTAGCTAATTTTAAAACATCATCTAAGATGGTGTCAAACACTACTGACAAAACTGCAATTTACAATAAACCAACCTAAATTGTGTCAGAACAAACAAAAACAAAATTGGGAATATAAATCTATCATTTCAAATTTTGCCTGACATGTAATTATTCTGCTATCCCAGAATTACATAGCAATTTAACTGATTATGCTGGAATTACATTTTTTTTCATCAAATCATGATTTAATTTTCTGTTTCCCAAGGATAATAACAGAATCACCCCTGTAATCACAGATAACATACGGCTCAATAGCATAGGTGAATTTAACAGTATACCAAAGAGCATTTATCTGGAGAATTGTTAGCAGGTTCACGTTAAAGTTTTTCATGAGCATTAATCAAATGTGTTTGCTTCTATTGAACATGCTAAACCAATTATTTAACTGAAAAGCAAGCAGTTAGCTATATTATTTCATTATTCAGTGGAGATGAAGAAAAACCATCTTCAAAAATTCATTTTTGTTTCATTCATAAATATCTAGAAAAACATTACTATAAGGAATATTTATTTTATACTTAATTCTAATTTACATGCCTAGATGAGAGTCACAAAGTTCTCGAACAGATCCCAGAATTTACCTAATCACAAAAATGTCAATCTCTGGAGGATGTACTTTTCCACATTATTCACAAATTTTGTGTTTTTCTTTTCATACAGTTATATGTAATTAAGTAAACTCTTCTTTCATACTTCTTTTTTGGATCTATAAGAAAACTCATCAAAAGAACAATAAAACAACCAAATAATCTTGCATATCAAAACCAGAAATCAATGATTTGTCCATTTTAACAACTGGGACACACTGAACAAAAATTAGCTCACACAATTTGTGGAAAATAGTATGGGCCAACAAAGTAATAGGATAAATAGAATAGAATGGCAGATGGATGAATCTCAGAAACATGCAGGCAAAATTAATTTGGGGTGATAAATATCAAATGACTGCTTGCCTGCTATGTGTGGGTGGGGAGGACTGACTACAAAGTGACAGATGGAAACTTTTGGGGGTGATGAAAATGCTATGTATCTTCACAATACACTTTAAATATGTGCAGTGTACATAATTCTATTGTAACAAAGTGGATAAAAAGGCAAAATAAACTAAAACAAAAGGATGTGACTTAAAGATTTATAGAACTTGTGTCCCTTGAATCTGGGTTAACCAAGTGAGTTGTTTTGTCCAATGAAATACTAGCAAAATATGATACAATTAGAGGCTTTTTAAGCCTGTGCATATTGCAGTTTGCCTATTAGCTCCTCTTGGAATCCTGAAACTATCATGTGAATAAGCCCAAGTTAGCCTGCCAAATGACAGAAAAGATCTAGTATCTCCAGCTGATGGAGTCAACTGTCAGCTATTTAAGTGAGTTAACCAACTATGGCATACCAGCAGAAATATGAATGAATTCAGCCAAAACTACCACAATTACTCAGCAGATCTCACACCAAACTGCCTACCTACAGAATCATAAGCAAATAAGGTATTTTAAATCACTAAGTATGCAAAAGTTAATGGATACAAATATTTAAGAATTTGGTTTACAGAAAGAATACAGAGAAACTTCCTAGAGAAAGTATAGAATATGAAAGCTTCAAAAACACCAAAATATTTTAAAACCTGTTCCTTTTCTGGTGTTGAAATAAAAATAAATTTTGTATGAGAGGTTATTCCTAATTCAGGAGTATTACACATTGCTATACAGAAACCTGACAGGACCAACTGAGAGGTGTGTTATCTTCCTACGGTGATACTCAAAATGAATTGAGAAATTGACAAGAAAATTTCTATCCCTTGTCTTTCCTATAGAATGAAGAAAAGACAAATCACACCTTCAGTAAGAAGTCTAAGATATCTCTGAGTAACTATGGAGTTTATGGTATAATACTCAATGCCTGAGGAGTACCAGTAGTGCTTTCATAGTTTTTCCAAAGAACACTCAGAATTTATACGACTTTATGAAAAGAAAATGGATCTCACAACATATTGAGAGAGTGTGCAAGGAGAGAAGGAGGGCGGGAACATGGAACTAAAAACAGGATTTGGTTCTATAAACAATGCATCTCATAAAGCAGGAAGGGTATACTTGGCTAGAGACTTGATCAACTGGGCTTTTTCCATCACTGAAAAGAGTTCTTGAGTTATAGTAATTATCGTAATTTTATACTATTGAGAGCTGTATATCCTAAATGAAGAGAGAAATAAGCACAGGTAGAATGTCAATTGTTCACAAGAAAATAGAACTGAGGAAAGAATTAGAAACTACATTAACATCTTCATATACATTTATACCTGACCCATCTTATAGAGGCAGTATATTATTACCCTTAAGAATATCAACTCTGGAGTTTGCCTTTCTGCATTTGAAAACAACTGTCATTAACCAGGTGTGTCACTTTGGGAGCATTATTTAATCTTTCTGTGCTTTAATTTCCTCATTTGTAAAACAGGTGGGCTGGGGATAGAGCTCAGTGTTAGAATGCTTGCTTAGCAAGCAGGAGAACCTGAGTTCAATCCTCAGCAATGTAAAACAAAAATAAAAAGCCCTGTAAAATAGGAAAAATATGTAATTCATAATACAGCCTCTATAAATGTTTGTTATTTTTAACTATTATTTTAATTGCAATGATCGGAATAGGCATAAGAACGTGAATTTGAAATGATTCATAATGTAATCTGGTGATGTAATTCCAATGTAATTCATAATATAATAAAGCTTAACTCCTCAGAATACTTTCATTTTTTAAATTAGTGCATTGTAGTTATATATAATATGTGGGTTTATTTTGACATAATTATACAAGCATAGTATATCACTGATCCAATTCAACCCCCATTACTTCCCATTTCCTTCCCCCTGCTCCCTTTCTTTATTCTACTTCTCAGAATACTTTTAAAAGAAAATCCAGGTCCAGAGATATTATGCAATTTATCCAATGTTGCATAGTTAATAAATATCAGAGCTAAATTTTGAACCCAGACAATACAGATCTACCATCTGTGTCTTCTTTAATACACGGAACTAGTTCCATGGAATGGGATTCATAGTAGAATACAGAGAAGGACAGAAAACAATGGATATCCACATGGGATGAAATGGCTGCTATGTCACATCATAAATAAAAATCTTTTCCAAGTAAACTATGGATTTACATATGAAAGTAAAAATCTAGAATTCCTGAAGACACACAAGAATCTTTTGACCATTGAGTAGCAAAAAATTTATTAACAAAAAATAAAAAGTACAAACCATGATATATCCATGAAGGATATCACTGATAAATTTGATTACATTTAACTTTAGAACTTCTATTTGTCAAACTCATTTGAGAAGGAGAGTAAGAAAAGAGAGGTATTTGCTACATACATAACCAGAAAAGGGCTCATAATCAGAAAACCAAAAAAAAAAAAAGAAAAAAAGAAAAAGTCATACAAACCAATAAGAAAAAGATAAGACTTTATAAAAGAGAATATCCAAATGGCCAATAAACACGACAGAATTCTCACTGGAAGATGCAAAATAAAATAAACGAAATACCACCATACACATACCAGAACAGATATAATTACAAAGACTAACAGAACCAAGTGTTAGTGAAGATATAAGTGATGAGAATTCTTTAAGTTACTTATAGGAGTAAATCAACTAACTTGTAAAACTGTCTACATCTACTACAGTTCAAAATACACATACTCTATGACCCAAAATTTCCACTGAAAAGTGTATATGCATCAGAAATGTATGTTAATGTTGACCAAACAAAAAATTCAGTGCAGTGCTATTCAGAATAGTCCCAAACAGAAAATAATCCAACTGCCTGTCAACAACTGAGTAGATATATTGTAATATAGTCATTCAATATACTACAATATAATAAAAATGAATAAACTATAGTCATATACAAGGGTAAATCTCATAAACCTAATAGTGAGTGAGATCAGGAGAAAATGAATACAACTGTATGATGCCATAAATTATAAAGTTATAAGTCAGTATTCTTGAAAAGTAGATATTGCAAGGACCTATCAGGAGGTGATGTTTATATTTATGTGCCTAGATGCATATTTATGACTTGTGTTCTTTTTTCTATGTTACCATTTAATAGAAATGGATTTAAAAAAACATAGTTATGTCAAAAAAAGAACCTAGTAGTTAGCTGTTTCTCAAAGATAAATTAAAGCAATGATGAAGTGCGCATACTATTAGTTTTGTATTATACAAGCATTATTTTTAAATCAATCACTCACACAAACATACACAGCAGGCCTACTTATTGTGTAACCCTATCTATTACAGATCTGAGATATCTCAAACTGTGTTTTTAAGCAGAACAATCTAGCTGGTAACTATAAATATTTTGACTTACAATACACTAAAAAACACTAACAATCTCTGCAACATATAACTACACAAAGGTGATTTTAAATGCCATGATTAAGATGACACTAAACTTTTAAATTAAATCTCTCCTATCTTCTCCAACCAGGAATATGAAAATAAAGAATCAAACAGCACCAAAAACAAAACCAACACAGAAGAAAACAAAGCCCACATTATATCTTCTTTCTAAAACCCTAGAATGTGATTTTGTCACCAGTAGCAGAAAGACCTATAAAAGATCAACAAGTCTGCAACAGGAGCAACACAAAGTAACAGAACAACCCACTTACTCTTTTTAAGAAACCAAAAATAAAATCATGAGCAAGCATTAATCCCTTCAACAAGGAAACCTAAGTTGATGAATTATAAATGGTCTACAAAACTTGGAAAATCTTCATAAGCTCCAAATCAAGAGCAAGTGTAATAAACTATGCAAATGAGAAATTAAGTAAGTTTACATCTAAGGCCTCAAAATCTCTCGAACAGTCAGCCAACACTCTCTTACAGAAGCACAAAACCTAATACCAGGAGGAATAACTGAAGCCAAATTTAAAAACCTCATACTAGGAGAAAAAACTGAAGCAAAAAACATATACTAAGAGGAAGACTGTTCAGATAAGGAACATAAGAAGGGAGTTATGCCCAGAGGCACCTATTAAAAAAACAAAACAGGGCTGGGGATGAGCTCAAGCAGTAGCACGCTCGCCGGGCATGAGCGCGCGGCCCGTGTGGCCTGGGTTTGAACCTCAGCACCACATAAAAACAAAGATGTTGTGTCCGCTGAAAACTAAAAAATAAAATATTAAAAAAAAAAACTGGCACAGCACTATATAACATTTAAAGTTGAGAATAATATTTCAGAATCCAAGATTGTTAGAATTTTTTTAGGGTAGAACAGAGAACTACCATGAAGTAAATATTCTATGTTAGTTCTGACAAGCACTGGATATACAGAGAGGTCTTAATCAAGTTGTCTGTAACAAAAAGGAGGAAGCCATAGAATAGTCAAGTTGGGAAAGCTACCCTATCCTATCTTCCGCTCCCCACATTCCATGTTTCCTCCTAACAGCCCAGTAAAACTGTCTTATTATAAGTGAAAAACAAGAAAAAAAATTGTATAAAAAATTATTATGAAGAGAAAAAGAATAAAATAAAAAAAATGATAGAAAAAAATCTGAGAGAAAATGAATAGGAGGTAAGGAAAGGAAATCCAAGATACTTATAATTGGAGCCCTGAAAAAAAAAAAAAAAAGCTAAAGCAAGTGGAAAAAAAATCTATAACTATAATTCTAAAAGTATCTTTTCCCAAAGAAAATTACTGAATCTATATATTAAACAACTGTGTTGTGTACTTAGGAAAACTTATACAAGAATAGCCAACAATACATATCATAGTGAGATTGTTAGATTTTAAAGAAAAAGAGCAAATTCTTTTGAGTACCAGATAAAAGTCTAAATCACTTCTGAGAGAAACTCAGGATGGCATTAGGCTTCTTGACAGCAAAATTTTATCCTAAATAACAATGAAACTACATGATTAAGATACATAATTAAAGTAAATGTAAGCCAAGAATACATAAACAGTCAAACTATCCTTTAAATATAAAGGCTGCTAGTTATAAACAATGGAAGATGTGAAAAAATATTTTTTCCCATGAGCAAATTTTCCTTGAAAAATATTTCCTGAAAAATCTCTTAGAGATAATCTTCAGAGAACTAAGAAATGAATGTAGAAGTTTTAATATAAGATTTAAAGTGTAAGCAGACTGCAGAAACTTTAATAGTTTGGTTCATTTAGTTTTAGGTTTTCCCTTCCTTCTTTATTTCTTGGGATACCTCTGATTAATAATACATTCACATACCAAATATGCTTTTGAAATGGATCATGCTATTTATCTTACATGAAGTTTTAAAATTACTTCATATTTACCAAAGTTTGAAGAGACAAAAATCACTAAGAAATACATTAACTCATCTACATAAAAACAAAATTATTAATACTAACCTGATAAGCTCTGTTTATTTGGCTAGCTGCCCAACTAGCATATTTCATGTTGTCCTTTTTCATTTTTGCACTTGCTTTTGGATTAGAAGCGATATGACTTGCAGACTAAAAAAAAAGAAACATCAAAAGCAAAATTTCTTTTATTCTAGTCAATCAATAACATGTAAGGGTAACAGTTGCAGTGAATTGATAACAGAAAAATTTTAAAACTATCAAAAGCTTTAAAAAATAAAGTTGAATGAAATTAGTGTTTAAAAATGAAAACATTTTAAAATACAGCATAATCCAAAATAATGAGACAAACGGGTATTTTAAATAATACCTGAAGTTATTTAATTGTATATCTACCACAAATCTGAAAGGTAAAAGCCCCTATCACTTAAATAAAGAAGCCATGGAAACATACTTTTGTAAACCAAAAAGTACTTTCTCATTAGAATTTTAGTAATGCATATTCTTGTTACTGAATAGAATCAGCTTTCCAATGTCAGAAGCACTGAGTATTAATAGAAATCTCAAAAATAATTTATACTATACTAACAAGTGAAAAAATTTCAGTCCAATAGGAATGATCTGACTTGACAAAAACAACTTTAATAGAAGACCTTTGAAAGAACATTCTTTTAACTAACCTATTTCTCTTTTCGCTAAAGAGCTTTTAAGTTTTGTTCTACAGAATTCATTAATAACTACAATTTGTTATACCTTCTCCTTTTTAAAAACGTATTTAAGTAAGAAATTCTTAATCTGGACCCATGAAGAATCTATAAATCCCTCAAATCATATCTGAATTTTTAAATGTATGTTGTGATTCTGGGGAAGAGTAAGGTATAAATTCTGTTTTATTCTTAAATATATCTTATTCTTAAAAGGATCTGTCACCCAGTGATTCATAAAAAGGTTAAGCCTTTCTTTTATACCTAAGTGGATATTATAGGTTAACCTCCACTGTCAATGATGTATCTGTATGTTAATAACAAAACTTCTGTGTCTCATCACTTGTTGGATATGAATTTTTGTAAATGCAGTGGTTAAAAGACTGGATTAAAATGCCTGAACTGAAATCCCAGCTTAAACACTTGGGGGCTCTGTGTACATATTTGGGTAAATTAATTAAGCCTGTATATCAGTTTTACCATCTGTGAAATGACAGAAATATTTATTCAAATACTTCAAATGAAGATTTAAGGATTTAAAACAAAACAAAAAAATGCAAACACAATGCCTGGTGCATAAATTTCAATGTAAATGTATTATTAATAATGATGTATTGTCACACAATTTTCAAAGTAAGTATTTAATTTATTTAGTAACATATATTACTGTTAACTATATCTCTAAGCACTTGAAATTTGGAATTTTCTTAAAATTCCTTTGAACAATATTCTAGCCACATTTTGGCATTTCTTTCTAAAAATTATTTATATTTCTTCCCATCACTTTTTAAATCAAGTCTTTTTTCTTACTGAGCTATAACAAGAAGATACTCATTAGAAAACTCATAGAAAGAGTAAAATAAAACAAAATTTCAAAGAACTGACCTATTAAAGTTTATTTTCTTAGTCTCTTTGATTGCAGAGGTGTTCATTTTATATGAAGCTCAGCAAATTCTTTTATTTCCCATAGCTCTTATTAAATGGCTTTTCTAAGCTCTTCATTTGGCATAAAGCGTAGATAACTACATACTCCCAACAATTTCTAAACTTTTTTCTATGCCATAAAAATAATTAATTTGACATATTAGAGATTCTATTTTCTAATGTTTTTTATTAGCATAGTTTAAAAACATCTCACACAAGTAAACTTAGGTAACAAATAAAATAATGTTGGGCACAAACCCAAGAATATCAAAACAATTAAAATATATATAATATACTTTGTTATATATTACTATTTAATTGTGTAAGAGTAGATATCAATTCTGATATAAAAGATATTTTATACAGAAATGTCAAATAGCTAGGATATCTTAACATTCAAATATAAAACTGCCTTACAACCTACTGTTATTAATACAAAAAAAAAATGGATAAAGAGGATTGTTAAATGGAGTTTAAAGAGAGATTTTGCAAAATAACATTAAGCATGCACCTCAACTCACCATGTAAAGCCCAAATAAAGCCCTCATATTTCTGTTGTTCAGTTTCAATGCCTGTGCAAAATACTTTCTTGAAAGTTCGAGGTTTTCAAGTCCACCCTGGGTATATTTAACCTGTTAAAAAATTGCAATGTGCTGAAACTTGTTTATTTTACTACTTTAAAATATAGCATGCTTCATCATACCATAAGCATTAAGTAATTGAAACAGATATTATGTAAACAAATGCAAGATGTTAAAAGAATTCACCTTACGGTTGTTAAATCTAATCTAACATAACTTCTCCTAAAAAGCTATTCTATTCTATGAACATTAAGATCACTGAGTAGTTTCTAAAACTACTAGCACAATAAAAAAGCTCAGAAAAATTTCTGCTTGTATTGCCTTACAAGTGCTACACATATATTTTCTGTTACTACCATTACAAATCTAGACCTGGATATTGTGTTGCCCTTTTACATTTGTACTCTAATAATTAAGAAAATAAAGATCCTTTTGCATTCCTTAATAATGAAGTCCTCTAACCTGATAGCATAAAATTATACTGATATTCTTTTCTTCCACTTTTCTTTTTTAGTTGTAGATAGACACAATACCTTCATTTATTTTTATGCGATGCTGAGAATCGAGCCCAGTGCCTCACATGCTAGGCAACTGCTCTACCAATGAACCACAACCCTAACCCCTATACACCATTTTTAAACCACAGACAGATTAAATACTTCCTTCATCCCAAAATATTGGCCTTAATATGAATTTCCAAAAAATATGAATTTAAAAACCATAATCACTGTAAATTTCACAGCAATTAAATGGTGACAATTGTGACATAAATTTATATTAGGAAAGAAAATAGTTTAATATACTATATAAAACACAAAGAATTCACCGTTTTAGTTGAAAGTCCAGCATTTCCACTGCAATAGTAAAAATTCAGAATTTCTTATTCCCTCACTCAATATTCATCAGATGGTTTAAATATTTACATATTCACCTCAATGAAAAAAATATTCTTAGTACCATAACAATACACAAGAGCAAGAAAAATAAAATCACAGAAATTTGTTTCTAAAAACACTTACTTCAGCATACTGCTGACAGTATAAATGGTTGTGTGGATTAGTCATCATAAGCTCCTCTAAACAAAAGGCTGCTTTTGCATAGCTGAAGAATATCAAGAGGAGAAATTACTTTTGAAAAATCACAAATTTTATCTTAGGTATGCCTTTAAATAATTTCAAAACAATTTTAGTTATGTCAAAACACGTTATTTCCAAAACAATCTAAATGGCTTTATTAATAAAGTACTTATCCTAAATCCATAAATACCAATATAAAAATTTTAATGTAATGAAACAAATATATGTCTAAATCCTAAAGCAGTCTATGAACAATTTATAGATACTACTTTTTTAAAAATTAGGCCACTATCATGATATTTAAACATTATTAATAACAAAGACTTTAAGACCTTGGATCTACACATAAAATAATTTTTGGAAGTCCACAGATCGTTAACAAAATGTTCAAATAGGTAGCATAAAGAGGTACTACACACTTTATCAAATACTCCCTAATCATTAAAAATTCTTCACAGACATATATTTGCCAACATATTCTATTACAAAGATTCTCATTACTTAAGTTTACTGTCAAATATTAAATTATATTTAAATTATATCTTTTAAACCTATGAATAATAGATTGTTAGTTTTGATATGCCCTCTACTAGTTCAAATCATATGGTAGTAAAATGAAAATCTTGCTGAAAATTGCCAGAAATGGCTTTGGAAAACAGCTTTAAACCATGTCATCATTATTTTTCACTTTAATATATTTTATGTTTAAAACCATGCAACTATTCTTATTATTTAAAAGGAAATACTAAGAAATACAAGTATTTTAAATTTATTCTCAGGTGATGACACTTTCCAAAAGAAAAAAAACTACCTACAGCTATTTTTAGCATTCGTTACCAATATGCATAGGTACCTACCTTTGCATTAATGCCTGATATATTTACTTTTTGAAATACAGATACTCTAGCTTCACAAATGTTTAACTTATAAAATACTCATTATGTGTTGCACACTAACAGTATTATGAATATTCTATCCTACAAAAATTCTGAAAGCAGATTATCATCACTGTATAGCTAAGAACACTGGGGCAGCAGAGATGTAAACTGAATACCAGGCTGTGTTCCTCCAGACAGCTTGCAATCCTAATATGTATTGCCTAGACCCACAATGAAAATCTGTGGTAATAATACTGATGAAGTTGTCAATGGTGACATAAAAAGTGGGTACCAGAGTCAAACCCAAAGGGCCTAACAAACTAATTGCACCCTGCACACTACCAAAGAACTAAAGCACTTTAGATTTATGAATTGACAGCATTAATTCTTGAAGCATTAATTCTTGAAACACCAAGGCATTTAGTGACTAAACAAATGACTTGAACGAATGATTTAATAAATGTCAGAACAATATTATGACTATTTAGTATCTACCATTCTAAAAGAAAAAAGGAAAGTTGTCTCTACCTTAAACATCCAATTTATCAAAAACAGTTTTGTTATATATATATTCTTTAACTAAGATGATGCCAAAAATTCATATTAAGGCTAGGAATAAATTTCTTAGGGACTTAAATGTGTTGAGGACTATGTGTCTGGTTCTGATAGAATATAAAGCAAGATAAAATAGGAAAGGAAGACTGTAATTAACTTAGAATGATAGAATTTCAAGTAACTTTTATCTTGGTCCTTAAGCTATACTGGGTTTTCTAAATTTTCTGTATAGGTTTTAAACTTGAAAAATTAAAAAAAAAAAAAAGATTTCCTTTATTACTTTTAATCACAAAACCTTCAAGCAATACAAAAAAATTTAAATGACTGTCCCTTGCTTTAGAAACAGAATAAAACTAATGTTAATTTTTTTCAATGTACACTAAAAATTCAGTTTATTATTTAAATACATACTGTACCATAATCATAAGTATGTTTATATATGTGTACATAATATATAACTGAGTATGTTTATATATGTGTACATACAAGCATAGATACATCTCTGTTTTCCTAACTGAAAACAGAGACTTTGACAGCCAGAGTACAGCAGAGAACTAAAGAATGGTTCCTGGAATATAGTACACATTTCATTAAATAACAGCTACTGCTTTTATTTTAGCTCCCACCTTTATTAAAATTATTGAAATAACTACTTGATCCTTTATTTCATATTGTATGTATGTGCATGTACGTGCGCGCGCGGCCACACACACACAGACACACACATAGATTTGAGCAAAGGCAAGAGACAAATGTCTTCATGTTATTTTATTTCCTGTTTCAGCTTCTACAAGTATGAGAACAAAGTAAACTATTCATGTACATGCATGAGAATTTGATTCTATTCTCTCAAAAAGGAGGAAACAAACAATGCAATATACTTCGGATTTAGAAGAACTAAGGGAAAAAACGAAAAAAAAAACTACATCTCCAGATGGAAGTTAGGTTAATGCTCTGATATTAGAAAATGTTCACTGAGACTTTGCACTAATCCCCTCACACTGGAATTTCCTCCTGTCACTACAGCAATAAAAAAGCTAACAAAAACATTTATGTCCAATAAGCAAGTTCCCTATAGCATTCAACATTCTTGATTATTCTTGGTTTTTAACCCAGGCAACTGAAAGCTTCTTTCGATATTTGGAAGAGTTAATTCTCTAGTGTTAAGGCTAATAAATGCATACAATTGACAGAATTTTTAAACAGCAGGAAGTATTATACTCTTTGTAGGTAAGAACAATTTGAACTCTTAATTTAAAATTCACAATTTTAATTCACCAAAAATAACCTTAGCTTTGAAAATGCAGAACTTTCAAATTCCAAAGACTGTTATCTATATTTTAAAGAAAAATTTAATGACCACACAAACAAACAAACACAAATGACCTCATTAGAGCTATTCACACATTATAACCAGAAAACTGTTGATATGTTATTTTTAAACTTAATTGGTAATTTATTTTGTTCCTCATTTAAAATGACAGGTGGTTCATACCTTCTTACAAATTCTTTGGAAACCCACTCTAATGATGAAAATTTCACTCATAACAAAATTTTATGTGTTTAACAACTTACTCATGTTCATTGATATAAAGTTCTGCAAGTTCATGCCAGGCTTCTTGGTCTCCAACAAATCTGGTGGGAGAAAAGGGGGGAAAAAAGTAAATGTGTAGTTATTCTGTAAATGAACAGCATGGAGGCAAGCAGGAAAATCAAATGCAAATTCCATTTTAATTAAAAAAGATTTATCAGAATAACAAAACACAATCCTCTTGTAAAACACTCACTGTTCCAGATACTCATTCAGCTCCCGAATGGCCTCCACATTTTTCCCCTGGGCTTTTCGAATGGCAATCTTACGCTTTCTGGCAGCCTATGGGTTGACATTAATAAAGGATTAGGCTCTCAGGATTCCCTGGGTTTTTGTAAAGAAGGTAATTTGACTGTGCAAATTATTATCTCAATGCCAGTGAAATTCCATTGTGGAACTACTGCTTAGTGTGAGTTTATAAACATACCCCATGACATCCCACTGGGGAATTCAAACATTCCTCTAACAATCACATATGCTTTACTTTTGATGCATACAATGTATGCATCAGTTCATCCAAATAAACAGTCTTCTAGATTCTGATAATTACAAGCCAGCAGGGAATCCTAATCTTTATCCAACCTAAAGTCCTTTACTCTGTCTCATTCATAAGATCCATATCTTAAGAGGTAGAGGCATAGGGGAGATTAAGGGAAAAATCTCACCATGGCCTCTTGAATGTCATTATACAAATATGGCTTCTGACAATGTTTTCACAATTTTAAGAGAAAAATCTACCTATGAGTCTTTCAAAAGAATAAAACAAGTCTTGACAGAAACATTTTGTAATAAGCATTTAAAACTCACATTAAAATCTTAACAATAAATACAAAAATCAATGCAAATTAATCTATACATTCATCAAATATATATTAGATATCTACTTTTTTTGGTCAGGTACTATGCCAGGCAATGAATATATAAAGATTAAAAATGAGATAACCTCTTTCTCAGTCTCATGAGAAAGACACATTATGTAAAAATTTTAATGCAGTAAGGGCAATGATAGAGATATATAGGGTGTCAAGACGACAAGAAAGAGATAACACAGGCTATAGCACAGTGGAAGAAGTGTAAAGATAAGAAGCAAAGAGGTTCCCAGACGTGACACACATATTGAAAAAGAAAAGGTGAACAGACATTAGCTAGCCAATCCCTAAAAAACAAATGCCAAATGTCTTCTTTGATATAAGGAGAGTAACTAAGAACAGAGTAGGGAGGAAGAGCATGAGAAGAAGATTAACATTAAACAGGCATGAATGGTGGGAGGGAAAGGGAGAGAGAAGGGAAATTGTATGGAAGGAGACCCTCATGGTTATACAAAATTACATACAAGAGGAAGTGAGGGAAAAGGGAAAAAAAAAACAAGGGGAAGAAATGAATTACAGTAGATGGGGTAGAGAGAGAAAATGGGAGGGGAGGAGAGGGGAAGGGGATAGTAGAGGATAGGAAAGGCAGCAGAATACAACAAATACTAGTATGGCAATATGTAAATCAGTGGATGTGTAACCGATGTGATTCTGCAATCTGTATACGGGGTAAAAATGGGAGTTCATAACCCACTTGAATCAAAGTGTGAAATATGATATATCAAGAACTATGTAATGTTTTGAACAACCAACAATAAAACTTAACCAAAAAAAAGAAAGCAAACAGGAAGTTATATGGTATATCAGGAGAAACACATGAGCAAAGGGACAGGAAAAAAATTGATGTGTATAACTAATTCTGAGGTTAAAGTAACAAGTCAGCAACTGGAGAGGACTATACAAATTATTAAATTGCATTCCCTCAATCTCTATTCAATTCAAATGCTGAAGGATAAACAATAAAATACTCTGATTAGAATTGTTAAGCTTATTAATTATGATACAAGACTTGTTGCTTTATGTAAAATACACTACAAAAGATACAGACAGAGGTAAAAATCCGAAGTCTCTTTAGATTAATAGGAGCTAAAACCAGTGGGGTATAGACTGAATGATTTGGGATTGAAGAAGTGAAAGTTAAAAGAGTAGAGAAATCAAGACATTACCTGACAAGTAAAGCCAAGAAAAATATTTGTAATCATGCTAACAATATTTGAGTAATAAAAATGACATGTTTTATGAATGCATATCCCTGATTATTTGGCTCATGCCAAAGACCTGGAATAATGCCTGCGACATGGTAGGCACATTCAAATATTTTTAGGATAATACCACTATGAAAAACAATAAAAGTGTTATAATAAACATCAAGTTAAAAAAGTCTCAAACTTTAAAGCTCTGAAATTAACTCAAATTTTAAGGCCATTATGATTGGACTTAAAATAAGACCCTTGTCTCAAATCCTATAAATACTGAGGAACATATAATCAAGAAACTGACTTCTTTGGAAAAATATAATATCTGATTTCACCAATCAAGGATCATTTGAAGCATAATTTACTCCTTTCATTTTCCATGACACTACTTCTTCCATAGGCAATATGGTATAGAAAAAAAAATCCAGCTTTTAAAAACAAAAAGCTAGGAAGGTGAGTGCATGTGTGTAATCCCAGCATCTTAGGAACCTGAGGCAGGAGGATAACAAGTTCAAGGGTCAGTTTCAGCAACTTAGCTAGACCCTGTCTCAAAATGAAAATTAAGAAGAGTTGCAGATGTAGCTCTGTGGTTAAGCACCTGTGAGTTCAATCCCCAGTATCTCAAATAAAACAAAACAAAACAAAATGACAAGTAACTTAAACCCACATATCAGCTTTCTTAACTTCTTCAAACCTCAGCATTACCATCTGCATCCAAGTATCACTGTGAAGCAGCTAACACAGTACCAAGCATATAACAGAATTAAGTAAGTATTATCTACAGCTTTTTCAACCTATGGTCTATGCTTAACATTTATGGGTTAAGTGTTACAAAAAAGCCCTAACCATAAGATCCTTAAAGGAAAGGCAAAGACTACTTTAATTATTTATATCTTATCCCAATCCTTACAGGATTTATAACCAGCTAACATACTATAAAAATGCAGTGAAAACTTTCTGGAAATTTTGTATACAAATGTAATGAATAAGACACAAAGAATAAATATATATAGCGACAACTAAAAGGGTAGTAAAAACATTGTAATGAATACCATTATACACAATATGAATTTCATGAAGTACAGTGTACAAGGAACACCTAACTTTAGCTTATTTTTTCAGTTATTTGACCAGGCACCCTGCTGAACACACACTAATGTTTTACCAGTCTTCTGCAGAATACAGTTTGTAAAGCACCACTCTAGAGTGTTGAAAAGAAAATTAATCTTTCAAAATGACTTAAAAAAAAAAAACAGTCCTTTTAAGCCAAGTATAGCAGCACAGGCCTGTAATGCTAGCTACTGTGGAGGCTGATACAGGAGAATCATAAGTACAAGGCCAGTCTGAACAACTTACTGAGACCCTGCCTCAAAAGAGATAGATAGATAGATAGATAGATAGATAGATAGATAGATAGATAGATAAATGGGTTGGTTATGTAGGTTAGTGGTAGAGTGCCCCTAGATTCATGCTGTAATATATAAAAAATTAAAAAGTACTTTTTATAAAAATAAAGGTGTACACAATTTCCATTCATCAAAGAGATAGAATTAGGATCTGGAATTTCAGACTCCTAGATTATTCTATGACACATGCTGAAAAAGAAGACTCTATAGTGGTACTAATTAAATAATTTGTTAGTATTATTTTGAATTATGTGTTTTTGTGGAAAAAAGAATATCATAATTATATAAGAACTAAATAAAACAAATTTAATATTAAAATTAAATTGAGGGATGGGGTTGTGGCTCAGTGGTAGAGCACTTGTCTGGCACATGTGAGGCATTGGGTTCAATCCTCAGTACCAAGTAAAAATAAATTAATTAATTAAATTGACTTTGTAATGGTCAGTTTTAAAAATGAAGTGTTTTGGACATTAAAACCAATCTTTATAACAAATGCTTTAAATTAACATCATTTTCCAGTCAATATTAAGTAAGATTTGCCCTACTGGACTGCACCAGCTGGACTAAATATATGAAATAACTATTTTTCAAGCTACAGGACATCAGGCAATGAAAGATAGTGATCCCTGAGAGGTGGGAAGCAAACCAGGTGAGACCTACTTGTATTGTCCTAGCTTACTAACTTTAGAAATTTTTAAGGCTGCCTGTGCAGGGAGCAGAAAAGCAGATTGAACCTAGTTGAGTTACAGAGTTCAGGGAAGGAACTGAGTCCAGAAAGACCAAACACACTAATAAGACAAATACCGGAAAAGCAAAGAAATTACAGAGTAAGAACTCTGGCACGCTGCAGAGGGTTTCCCTTGAATACTCAGCTTTGTACTGACTACTGCATACAGATAAGGAAACTAACCAAAGGAGAAGGAACAGAAAGATTTAGTACAAACAGTAATATTAATAAGTAGACTAAATGTTAAAGTCTTAAATAAACTTCTAGTTTGCATTTCTTTCTTATACTTTGTTTTCCTGTAACATATAATGATATTCTCAATATTTTGTTTGGCTCAATCTTTGCAAAAGTCAATATATATCTTTATAATAAAAATTGTTCTACATTTTATAAATGATTAAAATTTCAGTTGTAAAACATGAAACTTCAAAAAGTACTCATTAGGATACAGAATTAGAAAAGAAAAGCCTCATTTAAGGTATTAAAAGTCTTGCCATGTAATGTATATGTAAAATTTTAAATACAATATATATACAACTAATTGTAACAAAAATACTGATTCAAAAAATTAAGATAAAGCTGGGCATGGTAGCCCACACCTGTAATCTCAGCAATGCAGGAGGCTGAGAAGCAGGAGGATCATGAGTTCAAAGCCAGTCTCAGGAACAAGGAAGCATTAAGCAATTCAGTAAGACCCTGTCTCTAAATAAAGTAGGGCTGGGGATGTGGCTCAGTGGTCAAGTGCCCCTGAGTTCAATCCCCAGTACCTCTCCACCAAAAAAATTTAAGATGAAAATAGAAACACACATCTCAGTTTTTGTGTATTCACACACAGAACAGTCCTGGACACTAAAGGAAGTAATGCACAGTAATCAGCTGCAAAAATAAAGGCATTACAATTTTATGGCTGGAATGAACTTGAGGAGTAGGTAGTAACAGTTAAGTCTCTTCATTTTACATGGATCAAAACCAAAAACCTAGACTTATACAGCAAATCCTAGGATTCTTGAATTTGTACACTTCTCTTCTCTGCCATAGTTGTTCTATGGACACTTATTATTCAGCCATCCAATTCCTTATCCAG